ATCCCATTCTCCCAAATTTCATCCCCTTCTCTTTGATTCCATCCCCTTCTCCCCGATTCCATCCCCTTCTCCCTGATTGCATCCCCTTCTCCCAGATTCCATCCCCTTCTCCTAAATTCCATCCCCTTCTCCCAGATTCCATCCCCTTCTCCCCGATTCCATCCCCTTCTCCCTCATTCCATCCCCTTCTCTCAGATTCCATCCCCTTCTCCCAGATTCCATCCCCTTCTCCTAGATTCCATCCCCTTCTCCCAGATTCCATCCCCTTCACCCAGATTCCATCCCCTTCTCCCAGATTCCTTCCCCATCTCCCAGATTCCATCCCCTTCTCCCAGATTCCATCCCCTTCCCCTAGATTCCATCCCCTTCTCCCAGATTCTATCCCCTTCTCCCAGATTCTATCCCCTTCTCCCAGATTCCATCCCCTTCTCCCTGATTCCATCCCCTTCTCCCAGATTCCATCCCCTTCCCCCTGATTCCATCCCCTTCTCCCAGATTCCATCCCCTTCTCCTTGATTCCATCCCCTTCTCCCAGATTCCATCCCCTTCTCCCTGATTCCATCCCCTTCTCCCAGATTCCATCCCCTTCTCCCGGATTCCATCCCCTTCTCCCAGATTCCATCCCCTTCTCCCGGATTCCATCCCCTTCTCCCTGATTCCACCCCCTTCTCCCAGATTCCATCCCCTTCTCCCGGACTCCATCCCCTTCTCTTTGATTCCATCCCCTTCTCCTAGATTCCATCCCCTTCTCCCAGATTTCATCCCCTTCTCCCATATTCCATCCCCTTCACCCAGATACCATCCCCTTCTCCCAGATTCCATCCCCTTCTCCCAGATTCCATCTCTTCTCCCATATTCTATCCCCTTCTCCCAGATTCCATCCCCTTCTCCCAGATTCCACCCCCTTCTCCCAGATTCCATCCCCTTCTCCCAAATTCCATCCCCTTCTCCCAGATTCCATCCCCTTCTCCCAGATTCCATCCCCTTCTCCCGGATTCCATCCCCTTCTCCCAGATTCCATCCCCTTCTCCCGGATTCCATCCCCTTCTCCCTGATTCCACCCCCTTCTCCCAGATTCCATCCCCTTCTCCCGGACTCCATCCCCTTCTCCCTGATTCCTTCCCCTTCTCCCAGATTCCATCCCCTTCTCCCAAATTCCATCCCCTTCTCCCATATTCCGTCCCCTTCACCCAGATTCCATCCCCTTCTCCCAGATTCCATCCCCTTCTCCCAGATTCCATCCCCTTCTCCCAGATTCCATCCCCTTCTCCCATTCCATCCCCTTCTCCCAGATTCCATCCCCTTTTCCCAAATTCCATCCCCTTCTCCCAGATTCCATCCCCTTCTCCAGATTCCATCCCCTTCTCCCAAATTCTATCCCCTTCTCCCTGATTTCATCCCTTCTCCCTGATTCCATCCCCTTCTCCCTGATCCCATCCCCTTCTCCCAGATTCTATCCCCTTCTCCCAGATTCCATCCCCTTCTCCCAGATTCCACCCCCTTCTCCCAGATTCCATCCCCTTCTCCCAGATTCCATCCCCTTCTCCCAGATTCCATCCCCTTCTCCCAGATTCCATCCCCTTCTCCCCGATTCCATCCCCTTCTCCCTCATTCCATCCCCTTCTCCCAGATTCCATCCCCTTCTCCCAGATTCCATCTCCTTCTCCCATATTCCATCCCCTTCTCCCATATTCCATCCCCTTCTCCCAGATTCCTTCCCCTTCTCCCAAATTCCATCCCCTTCTCCCAGATTCCATCCCCTTCTCCCGGATTCCATCCCCTTCTCCCAGATTCCATCCCCTTCTCCCAGATTCCATCCCCTTCTCCCAGATTCCATCACCTTCTCCCAGATTCTATCCCTTCTCCTTGATTCCATCCCCTTCTCCCTGATCCCATCCCCTTCTCCCAGATTCTATCCCCTTCTCCCAGATTCCATCCCCTTCTCCCAGATTCCACCCCCTTCTCCCAGATTCCATCCCCTTCTCCCAGATTCCATCCCCTTCTCCCAGATTCCATCCCCTTCTCCCAGATTCCATCCCCTTCTCCCCGATTCCATCCCCTTCTCCCTCATTCCATCCCCTTCTCCCAGATTCCATCCCCTTCTCCCAGATTCCATCTCCTTCTCCCATATTCCATCCCCTTCTCCCATATTCCATCCCCTTCTCCCAGATTCCTTCCCCTTCTCCCAAATTCCATCCCCTTCTCCCAGATTCCATCCCCTTCTCCCGGATTCCATCCCCTTCTCCCAGATTCCATCCCCTTCTCCCAGATTCCATCCCCTTCTCCCAGATTCCATCACCTTCTCCCAGATTCTATCCCTTCTCCCCGATTCCATCACCTTCTCCCATATTTCATCCCCTTCTCCCAGATTCCATCCTCTTCTCCCAGATTCCATCCCCTTCTCCCAGATTCCATCCCCTTCTCCTAGATTCCATCCCCTTCTCCTTGATTCCATCCCCTTCTCCCAGATTCCATCCCCTTCTTCCAGATTCCATCCCCTTCTCCCAGATTCCATCCCCTTCTCCCAGATTCCATCTACTTCTCCAAAATTCCATCCCATTCTCCCAAATTTCATCCCCTTCTCTTTGATTCCATCCCCTTCTCCCCGATTCCATCCCCTTCTCCCTGATTGCATCCCCTTCTCCCATATTCCATCCCCTTCTCCTAAATTCCATCCCCTTCTCCCAGATTCCATCCCCTTCTCCCCGATTCCATCCCCTTCTCCCTCATTCCATCCCCTTCTCTCAGATTCCATCCCCTTCTCCCAGATTCCATCCCCTTCTCCTAGATTCCATCCCCTTCTCCCAGATTCCATCCCCTTCACCCAGATTCCATCTTCTTCTCCCAGATTCCATCCCCTTCTCCCAGATTCCATCCCCTTCTCCCTCATTCCATCCCCTTCTCCCAGATTCCATCCCCTTCTCCCAGATTCCATCCCCATCTCCCAGATTCCATCCCCTTCTCCCAGATTCCATCCCCTTCCCCTAGATTCCATCCCCTTCTCCCTAATTCCATCCCCTTCTCCCAGATTCCATCCCCTTCTCCCAGATTCTATCCCCTTCTCCCAGATTCTATCCCCTTCTCCCAGATTCCATCCCCTTCTCCCAGATTCCATCCCCTTCTCCCAGATTCCATCCCCTTCCCCCTGATTCCATCCCCTTCTCCCAGATTCCATCCCCTTCTCCTTGATTCCATCCCCTTCTCCCAGATTCCATCCCCTTCTCCCTGATTTCATCCCCTTCTCCCAGATTCCATCCCCTTCTCCCGGATTCCATCCCCTTCTCCCAGATTCCATCCCCTTCTCCCGGATTCCATCCCCTTCTCCTTGATTCCACCCCCTTCTCCCAGATTCCATCCCCTTCTCCCGGACTCCATCCCCTTCTCTTTGATTCCATCCCCTTCTCCTAGATTCCATCCCCTTCTCCCAGATTCCATCCCCTTCTCCCATATTCCATCCCCTTCACCCAGATACCATCCCCTTCTCCCAGATTCCATCCCCTTCTCCCAGATTCCATCTCTTCTCCCAGATTCTATCCCCTTCTCCCAGATTCCATCCCCTTCTCCCTGATTCCACCCCCTTCTCCCAGATTCCATCCCCTTCTCCAAGATTCCATCCCCTTCTCCCAAATTCCATCCCCTTCTCCCAGATTCCATCCCCTTCTCCCAGAATCCATCCCCTTCTCCCAGATTCCATCCCCTTCTCCAAATTCCATCCCCTTCTCCCAAATTCTATCCCCTTCTCCCAGATTTCATCCCTTCTCCCCGATTCCATCCGCTTCTCCCTGATCCCATCCCCTTCTCCTTGATTCCATCCCCTTCTCCCAGATTCCATCCCCTTCTCCCTGATTTCATCCCCTTCTCCCAGATTCCATCCCCTTCTCCCGGATTCCATCCCCTTCTCCCAGATTCCATCCCCTTCTCCCGGATTCCATCCCCTTCTCCTTGATTCCACCCCCTTCTCCCAGATTCCATCCCCTTCTCCCGGACTCCATCCCCTTCTCTTTGATTCCATCCCCTTCTCCTAGATTCCATCCCCTTCTCCCAGATTCCATCCCCTTCTCCCATATTCCATCCCCTTCACCCAGATACCATCCCCTTCTCCCAGATTCCATCCCCTTCTCCCAGATTCCATCTCTTCTCCCAGATTCTATCCCCTTCTCCCAGATTCCATCCCCTTCTCCCTGATTCCACCCCCTTCTCCCAGATTCCATCCCCTTCTCCAAGATTCCATCCCCTTCTCCCAGATTCCATCCCCTTCTCCCAGATTCCATCCCCTTCTCCCAGAATCCATCCCCTTCTCCCAGATTCCATCCCCTTCTCCAAATTCCATCCCCTTCTCCCAAATTCTATCCCCTTCTCCTAGATTTCATCCCTTCTCCCCGATTCCATCCGCTTCTCCCTGATCCCATCCCCTTCCCCCAGATTCCATCCCCTTCTCCCAGATTCCATCCCCTTCTCCCAGATTCCATCCCCTTCTCCCAGATTCCATCCCCTTCTCCCATTCCATCCCCTTCTCCCAAATTCCATCCCCTTTTCCCAAATTCCATCCCCTTCTTCCAAATTCCATCCCCTTCTCCTAAATTCCATCCCCTTCTCCCAGATTCCATCCCCTTCTCCCAGATTCCATCCCCTTCTCCAGATTCCATCCCCTTCTCCCAAATTCTATCCCCTTCTCCCAGATTCCATCCCCTTCTCCCTGATTCCATCCACTTCTCCCAGATTCCATCCCCTTCTCCCAGATTCTATCCCCTTCCCCCATATTCCATCCCCTTCACCCAGATTTCATCCCCTTCTCTCAGATTCCATCCCCTTCTCCCAGATTCCATCCCCTTCTCCCAGATTCCATCCCCTTCTCCCAGATTCCATCCCCTTCTCCCATTCCATCCCCTTCTCCCAGATTCCATCCCCTTTTCCCAAATTCCATCCCCTTCTTCTAAATTCCATCCCCTTCTCCCAGATTCCATCCCCTTCTCCCAAATTCTATCCCCTTCTTCCAGATTTCATCCCTTCTCCACAATTCCATCCCCTTCTCCCTGATCCCATCCCCTTCTCCCAGATTCCATCCCCTTCTTCCAGATTCCATTCCCTTCTCCCAGATTCCATCCCCTTCTCCCATATTCCATCCCCTTCTCCCAGATTCCATCCCCTTCTCCCAGTTTCCATCCCCTTTTCCCAGATTCCATCCCTTTGTCCCTCATTCCATCCCCTTCTCCCAGATTCCATCCCCTTCTCCCCGATTCCATCCGCTTCTCCCAGATTCCATCCCCTTCTCCCACATTCCATCCCCTTCTCCCAGATTCTATCCCCTTCTCCCAAATTCCATCCCCTTCTCCCTGATTCCATCCCCTTCTCCCAAATTTCATCCCCTTCTTCTTGATTCCATCCCCTTCTCCCATATTCCATCCCCTTCTCCCGGATTCCATCCCCTTCTCCCAGATTCCATCCCCTTCTCCTAGATTCCATCCCCTTCTCCCAAATTCCATCCGCTTCTCCCAGATGCCATCCCCTTCTCCCAGGTTCCATCCCCTTTTCCCAGATTCCATCCCTTTGTCCCTCATTCCATCCCCTTCTCCCAGATTCCATCCCCTTCTCCCCGATTCCATCCCCTTCTCCCAGATTCCATCCCCTTCTCCCAAATTCCATCCCCTTCTCCAAGATTCCATCCCCTTCTCCCAAATTTCATGCCCTTCTTCCTGATTCCATCCCCTTCTCCCAGATTCCATCCCCTTCTCCCAGATTCCATCCCCTTCTCCCTCATTCCATCCCCTTCTCCAAGATTCCATCCCCTTCTCCCAGATTCCATCCCCTTCTCCCAGATTCCATCCCCTTCTCCTAGATTACATCCCCTTCTCCCAGATTCCATCCCCTTCTCGCAGATTCCATCCCCTTCTCCCAGGGTCCATCCCCTTCTCCCAGATTCCATTCCCTTCTCCCAGATTCTATCCCCTTCTCCAGATTCCATCCCCTTCTCTCAAATTCCATCCCCTTCTCCTAGATTCCATCTCCTTCTCCGAGATTCCACCCCCTTCTCCAAGATTCCATCCCCTTCTCCCAGATTCCATCCCCTTCTCCCAGATTCCATCCCCTTCTCCCAGATTCCATCCCCTTCTCCCAGATTCCATCCCCTTCTCCCAGAATCCATCCCCTTCTCCCAGATTCCATCCCCTTCTCCAAATTCCATCCCCTTCTCCCAAATTCTATCCCCTTCTCCCAGATTTCATCCCTTCTCCCCGATTCCATCCCCTTCTCCCTGATCCCATCCCCTTCTCCCAGATTCCATCCCCTTCTCCCAGATTCCATCCTCTTCTCCCAGATTCCATCCCCTTCTCCCAGATTCCATCCCCTTCTCCCATTCCATCCCCTTCTCCCAAATTTCATCCCCTTTTCCCAAATTCCATCCCCTTCTTCCAAATTCCATCCCCTTCTCCTAGATTCCATCCCCTTCTCCCAGATTCCATCCCCTTCTCCCAGATTCCATCCCCTTCTCCAGATTCCATCCACTTCTCCCAAATTCTATCCCCTTCTCCCAGATTCCATCCCCTTCTTCCTGATTCCATCCACTTCTCCCAGATTCCATCCCCTTCTCCCAGATTCTATCCCCTTCCCCCATATTCCATCCCCTTCACCCAGATTTCATCCCCTTCTCTCAGATTCCATCCCCTTCTCCCAGATTCCATCCCCTTCTCCCAGATTCCATCCCCTTCTCCCAGATTTCATCCCTTCTCCCCGATTCCATCCGCTTCTCCCTGATCCCATCCCCTTCTCCCAGATTCCATCCCCTTCTCCCAGATTCCATCCCCTTCTCCCAGATTCCATCCCCTTCTCCCAGATTCCATCCCCTTCTCCCATTCCATCCCCTTCTCCCAAATTCCATCCCCTTTTCCCAAATTCCATCCCCTTCTTCCAAATTCCATCCCCTTCTCCTAGATTCCATCCCCTTCTCCCAGATTCCATCCCCTTCTCCCAGATTCCATCCCCTTCTCCAGATTCCATCCACTTCTCCCAAATTCTATCCCCTTCTCCCAGATTCCATCCCCTTCTCCCTGATTCCATCCACTTCTCCCAGATTCCATCCCCTTCTCCCAGATTCTATCCCCTTCCCCCATATTCCATCCCCTTCACCCAGATTTCATCCCCTTCTCTCAGATTCCATCCCCTTCTCCCAGATTCCATCCCCTTCTCCCAGATTCCATCCCCTTCTCCCATTCCATCCCCTTCTCCTGGATTCCATCCCCTTTTCCCAAATTCCATCCCCTTCTTCTAAATTCCATCCCCTTCTCCCAGATTCCATCCCCTTCTCCCAAATTCTATCCCCTTCTTCCAGATTTCATCCCTTCTCCACGATTCCATCCCCTTCTCCCTGATCCCATCCCCTTCTCCCAGATTCCATCCCCTTCTTCCAGATTCCATTCCCTTCTCCCAGATTCCATCCCCTTCTCCCATATTCCATCCCCTTCTCCCAGATTCCATCCCCTTCTCCCAGTTTCCATCCCCTTTTCCCAGATTCCATCCCTTTGTCCCTCATTCCATCCCCTTCTCCCAGATTCCATCCCCTTCTCCCCGATTCCATCCGCTTCTCCCAGATTCCATCCCCTTCTCCCACATTCCATCCCCTTCTCCCAGATTCCATCCCCTTCTCCCAAATTCCATCCCCTTCTCCCTGATTCCATCCCCTTCTCCCAAATTTCATCCCCTTCTTCTTGATTCCATCCCCTTCTCCCAGATTCCATCCCCTTCTCCCAGATTCCATCCCCTTCTCCCTCATTCCATCCCCTTCTCCAAGATTCCATCCCCTTCTCCCAGATTACATCCCCTTCTCCCAGATTCCATCCCCTTCTCCTAGATTCCATCCCCTTCTCCCAGATTTCACCCCCTTCTCCCAGATATGGAAGGAGGGAGAATGGGGCGGGGTGATGGAAAGAGGGAGAATGGGGCGGGGTGATGGAAAGCGGGAGAATGGGGCGAGGTGATGGAAAGAGGGAGAATGGGGCGGGGTGATGGAAAGCGGGAGAATGGGGCGAGGTGATGGAAAGCGGGAGAACGGGGCGGGGTGATGGAAAGCGGGAGAATGGGGCGGGGTGATGGAAAGCGGGAGAATGGGGCAGGGTGATAGAAAGCGGGAGAATGGGGCGGGGTGATGGAAACGGGAGAATGGGGCGGGGTGATGGAAAGCAGGAGAATGGGCTGTGGTGAAGGAAGGAGGGAGAATGGGGCGGGGCGATGGGAAGCGGGAGAATGGGGCGGGGTGATGGAAAGCGGGAGAATGGGGCGGGGTGATGGAAGGAGGGAGAATGGGGCGGGGTGATGGAAGAAGGGAGGATGGGGCGGGGTGATGGAAGGAGGGAGAATGGGGCGCGGTGATGGAAAGCGGGAGAAGGGGGCAGGGTGATGGAAGGTAGGAGAATCGGGCAGGGTGATTGAAGGAGGGAGAATGGGGCGGGGTGATGGAAGGAGGGAGAATGAGGCGGGGTGATGGAAGGAGGGAGAATGGGGCGGGGTGATTGAACGCGGGAGAATAGGGCAGGGTGATGGAAAGCGGGAGAATGGGGCAGGGTGATGGAAAGCGGGAGAATGGGGCGGGGTGATGGAAGGAGGGAGAATGGGGCGGGGTGATGGAAGGAGGAAGAATGAGGCGGGGTGATGGAAGGAGGGAGAATGGGGCGGGGTGATTGAACGCGGGAGAATAGGGTGGGGTGATGGAAAGCGGGAGAATGGGGTGGGGTGATGGAAAGTGGGAGAATGGGGAGGGGTGATGGAAAGCGGGAGAATGGGGCGGGGTGATGGAAAGCGAAACAATGGGGCGGGGTGAAAGAAGGAGGGAGAATGGGGCGGGGTGATGGAAAGCGGGAGAATGGGGCGGGGTGATGGAAAGCGGGAGAATAGGGCGGGGTGATGGAAAGCAGGAGAATTGGGCTGGGTGATGGAAAGCTGGAGAATGGGGCGGAGTGATGGAAAGCGGGAGAATGGGGCGGGGTGATGGAAAGCGGGAGAATGGGGCGGGGTGATGGAAAGCGGGAGAATAGGGCGGGATGATGGAAAGCGGGAGAATGGGGCGGGGTGATGGAAAGCGGGAGAATGGGGTGTGGTGATGGAAAGCAGTAGAAGGGGGCGGGATGATGGAAAGCAGTAGAATGGGGCGGGGCTATGGAAAGCGAAAGACTGGGGCGGGGTGAGGGAAAGCGGGAAAATGGGACGGGGTGATGGAAAGCGGGAGAACGGGGCGGGGTGATAGAAAGCAGGAGAACGGGGCGGGGTGATGGAAAGCGGGAGAATGGGGCGGGGCAATGGAAGGAGGGAGCATGGGGCAGGGTGATGGAAGGAGGGAGAATGGGGTGGGGTGATGGAAAGCGGGAGAATGGGGCGGGGTGATGGAAGGAGGGAGAATGGGGCGGGGTGATGGAAGGAGGGAGAATGGGGCGGGGTGATGGAAGGAGGGAGGATGGGGCGGGGTGATGGAAGGAGGGAGAATGGGGCGGGGTGATGGAAAGCGGGAGAAGGGGGCAGGGTGATGGAAAGTAGGAGAATGGGGCGGGGTGATTGAAGGAGGGAGAATGGGGCGGGGTGATGGAAGGAGGGAGAATGAGGCGGGGTGATGGAAGGAGGGAGAATGGGGCGGGGTGATTGAACGCGGGAGAATGGGGCAGGGTGATGGAAAGCGGGAGAATGGGGCAGGGTGATGGAAAGCGGGAGAATGGGGCGGGGTGATGGAAGGAGGGAGAATGGGGCGGGGTGATGGAAGGAGGAAGAATGAGGCGGGGTGATGGAAGGAGGGAGAATGGGGCGGGGTGATTGAACGCGGGAGAATAGGGTGGGGTGATGGAAAGCGGGAGAATGGGGTGGGGTGATGGAAAGTGGGAGAATGGGGCGGGGTGATGGAAAGCGGGAGAATGGGGCGGGGTGATGGAAAGCGAAACAATGGGGCGGGGTGAAAGAAGGAGGGAGAATGGGGCGGGGTGATGGAAAGCGGGAGAATGGGGCGGGGTGATGGAAAGCGGGAGAATGGGGCGGGGTGATGGAAAGCAGGAGAATTGGGCTGGGTGATGGAAAGCTGGAGAATGGGGCGGAGTGATGGAAAGCGGGAGAATGGGGCGGGGTGATGGAAAGCGGGAGAATGGGGCGGGGTGATGGAAAGCGGGAGAATAGGGCGGGATGATGGAAAGCGGGAGAATGGGGCGGGGTGATGGAAAGCGGGAGAATGGGGTCTGGTGATGGAAAGCAGTAGAAGGGGGCGGGATGATGGAAAGCGGTAGAATGGGGCGGGGCTATGGAAAGCGGGAGACTGGGGCGGGGTGAGGGAAAGCGGGAAAATGGGACGGGGTGATGGAAAGCGGGAGAACGGGGCGGGGTGATAGAAAGCAGGAGAACGGGGCGGGGTGATGGAAAGCGGGAGAATGGGGCGGGGTAATGGAAGGAGGGAGCATGGGGCAGGGTGATGGAAGGAGGGAGAATGGGGTGGGGTGATGGAAAGCGGGAGAATGGGGCGGGGTGATGGAAGGAGGGAGAATGGGGCGGGGTGATGGAAGGAGGGAGAATGGGCAGGGTGATATAAATCGGGAGAATGGGGCGGGGTGGTGGAAGGAGGGAGAATGGGGCGGGGTGATGGAAAGCGGGAGAATGGGGCGGGGTGATGGAAAGCGGGAGAATGGGGCGGGTTGATGGAAAGCGGGAGAATGGGGCGGGGTGATGGAAGGAGGGAGAATGGGGCGGGGTGATGGAAAGTGGGAGAATGGGGCGGGGTGATGGAAAACGGGAGAATGGGGCGGGGTGATGGAAAGCGGGAGAATGGGGCGGGGTGATGGAAGGAGGTAGAATGGGGCGGGGTGATGGAAGGAGGGAGAATGGGGCGGGGTGATGGAAAGTGGGAGAATGGGGCGGGGTGATTGAAAGCAGGAGAATGGGGCGGGGTGATGGAAGGAGGGAGAATGGGGCGGGGTTATGGAAGGAGGGAGAATGGGGCGGGGTGATGGAAAGCGGGAGAATGGGGCGGGGTGATGGAAAGCGGGAGAATGGGGCGGGGTGATGGAAAGCGGGAGAATGGAGCGGGGTGATGGAAGGAAGGAGAATGGGGCGGGATGATGGAAAACGGGAGAATGGGGCGGGGTGATGGAAAGCGAGAGAATGGAGCGGGGTGATGGAAGGAGGGAGAATGGGGCGGGGTGATGGAAAGCGGGTGAATAGGGCGGGGTGATGGAAAGCGGGAGAATGGGGTGGGGTGGTGGAAAGCGGGGGAATGGGGCGGGGTGATGGAAAGCGGGAGAATGGGGCGAGGTGATGGAAAGCACGAGAATGGGGAGGGGTGATGGAAAGCGGGAGAATGGGGCGGGGTGATAGAAAGCAGGAGAATGGGGCGGGGTGATGGAAAGCGGGAGAATGGGGCGGAGTGATGGAAAGCGGGAGAATGGGGCGGGGTGATGGAAAGCGGGAGAATGGGGCGGGGTGATGGAAAGCGGGAGAATGGGGCGGGGTGATGGAAAGTGGGAGAATGGGGCGGGGTGATGGTAAACGGGAGAATGGGGCAGGGTGATGGAAAGCGGGAGAATGGGGCGGGGTGATGGAAGGAGGGAGAATGGGGCGCAGTGATGGAAAGCGGGAGAAGGGGGCGGGGTGATGGAAAGCAGGAGAATGGGGCGGGGATATGAAAGGAGGGAGAAAGGGGGGGTTGATGGAAGGAGGGAGAATGGGGCGGGGTGATGGAAGGAGGGAGAATGGGGCGGGCTGATCGATTTCGGGAGAATGGGGCAGGGTGATGGAAAGCGGGTGAATAGGGAGGGGTGATGGAAAGCGGGATAAGGGGGCGGGGTGATGGAAAGCTGGAGAATGGGGCGGGGTGATTGAAAGCGGGGGAATGGGGCGGGGTGATGGAAGGAGTGAGAATGGGGCGGGGTGATGGAAGGAGGGAGAATGGGGCGAGGTGATGGAAGGAAGGAGAATGGGGCGGGCTGATGGAAAGCGGGAAAATGAGGCGGGGTGATAGAAGTAGGGAGAATCGGGCGGGGTGATGGAAGTAGGGAGAATCGGGCGGATTGATGGAAGGAGGGAGGATGGAGCGAGGTGATGGAAGGAGGGAGAATCGGGCGGGGTGATGGAAAGCGGGAGAAGGGGGCAGGGTGATGGAAAGTAGGAGAATGGGGTGGGGTGATCGAAAGCGGGAGAACGGGGCGGGGTGATGGAAAGCGGGAGAATGGGGCGGTGTGATGGAAAGCGGGAGAACGGGGTGCGGTGATGGAAAGCAGGAGATAGGGGAGGGGTGATGGAAAGCGGGAGAATGGGGCGGGGCTATGGAAAGCGGGAGAATGGGGCGGGGTGATGGAAAGCGTTAGAATGGGGCAGGGTGATGGAAAGCGGGAGAATGGGGCGAGGTGATTGAAAGCTGGAGAATGGGGCGGGGTGATAGAAGGAGTGAGAATGGGGCGGGGTGATGGAAGGAGGGAGAATGGGGCGGGGTTAAGGAGGGAGAATGGGGCGGGGTGATGGAAAGCGGGAGAATGGGGCGGGTTGATGGAAAGCGAGAGACTGGGGCGGGGTGATGGAAAGCGGGAGAATGGGGCGGGGTGATGGAAGGAGGGAGAATGGGGCGGGGTGATGGAAAGCGGGAGAATGGGGCGGGGTGATGGAAAGCGGGAGAATGGGGCGGGGTGATGGAAAGCGGGAGAATGGGGCGGGGTGATGGAAAGCGGGAGAATGGGGCGGGGTGATGGAAGGAGGGAGAATGGGGCGGGGTGATGGAAGGAGGGAGAATGGGGCGGGGTGATGGAGATTGGGAGAATGGGGCGGAGTGATGGAAAGCAGGAGAATGGGGCGGGGTGATGGGAAGCGGGAGAATGGGGCCGGGTGATGGAAAGCGGGAGAATGGGGCAGGGCGATGGAAAGCGGGAGAAAGGGGCGGGGCGATGGAAGGAGGGAGAATGGGGTGGGGTGATGGAAGGACGGAGAATGGGGAGGGGTGATGGAAAGCGGGAGAAGGGGGCGGGGTGATGGAAAGCGGGAGAATAGGGGGGGGCTATGGAAAGCGGGAGACTGGTTGCGGGGTGAGGGAAAGTGGGAGAATGGGGCGGGGTGATGGAAAGCGGGAGAATGGGGCGGGGTGAGGAAAAGCGGGAGAATGGGGCGGGGTGATCGAAAGCGTGAGAATGGGGCGGGGTGATGGAAAGTGGGAGAATGGGGCGGGGTTATGGAAGGAGGGAGAATGAGGCGGGGTGATGGAAGGAGGGAGAATGGGGCGGGGTGATGGAAAGCGGGAGAATGGGGCGGGGTGATGGAAAGCGGGAGAATGGGGCGGGGTGATGGAAATCGGGAGAATGGGGCGGGGTGATGGAAAGCGGGAGAATGGGGCGGGGTGATGGAAGGAGGGAGAATGGGGCGGGGTGATGGAAGGAGGGAGAATGGGGCGGGGTGATGGAGATTGGGAGAATGGGGCGGAGTGATGGAAAGCGGGAGAATGGGGCGGGGTGATGGGAAGCGGGAGAATGGGGCGGGGTGATGGAAAGCGGGAGAATGGGGCAGGGCGATGGAAAGCGGGAGAAAGGGGCGGGGCGATGGAAGGAGGGAGAATGGCGTGGGATGATGGAAAGCGGGAGAATGGGGCGGGGTGATGGAAAGCGGGAGAATGGGGCGGGTTGATGGAAAGCGAGAGAATGAGCGGGGTGATGGAAAGCGAGAGAATGGGGCGGGGTGATGGAAAGCGGGATAATGAGGCGGGGTGATGGATAGTGGGAGAATGGGGCGGGGTGATGGAAAACGGGAGAATTGGGCGGGGCGATGGAAATCAGGCGAATGGGGCGGGGTGATGGAAGGAGGAAGAATGGGGTGGGGTGATGGAAAGAGTGAGAATGGGGCGGGCTGATGGAAAGCGGGAGAATGGGGCGGAGTGATGGAAAGCGGGAGAATGGGGCGAGGTGATGGAAAGCGGGAGAATGGGGCGGGGTGATGGAAAGCGGGAGAATGGGGCGGGGTGATGGAAAGCGGGAGAATCGGGCGGGGTTATGGAAGGAGGGAGAAGGGGGGGGGGGGGTGACGGAAGGAGGGAGAATGGGGCGGGGTGATTGAAAGCGGGAGAATGGGGCGGGGTGATGCAAGGAGTGAGAATGGGGCGGTGTGATGGAAGGAGGGAGAATAGGGCGGGGTGATGGAAAGCGGGAGAGTGGGGCGGGGTGACGGAAAGAAGGAGACTGGGGCAGGGTGAGGGAAAGCGGGAGAATGGGGCGGGGTGATGGAAAGCAGGAGAATGGGGGGGGTTATGGAAGGAGGGAGAATGGGGTGGGGTGATGGAAGGACGGAGAATGGGGAGGGGTGATGGAAAGCGGGAGAAGGGGGCGGGGTGATGGAAAGCGGGAGAATAGGGGGGGGCTATGGAAAGCGGGAGACTGGTTGCGGGGTGAGGGAAAGTGGGAGAATGGGGCGGGGTGATGGAAAGCGGGAGAATGGGGCGGGGTGAGGAAAAGCGGGAGAATGGGGCGGGGTGATCGAAAGCGTGAGAATGGGGCGGGGTGATGGAAAGTGGGAGAATGGGGCGGGGTTATGGAAGGAGGGAGAATGAGGCGGGGTGATGGAAGGAGGGAGAATGGGGCGGGGTGATGGAAAGTGGGAGAATGGGTCGGGGTGATGGAAAGCGGGAGAATGGGGCAGAGTGATGGAAAGCGGGAGAATGGGGCGCGGTGATGGAAAGCGGGAGAATGGGGCGGGGGGATGGAAAGCGGGAGAATGGGGTGGGGTGATGGAAAGCGGGAGAATGGGGCGGGGTGATGGAAAGCCGGAGAATGGGGCGGGTGATAGAAAGCGGGTGAATGGGGCAGGGTGATGGAAAGCGGGAGAATGGGGCGGGGTGATGGAAAGCAGAAGATTGAGGGGGTGTGATGGAAAGCGGGAGAATGGGGCGGGGTGATGGAAGGAGGGAGAATGGGGAGGGGTGATGGAAAGCGGGGAAAAGGGGCGGGATGATGGGAAGCGGAAGAATGGGGCGGGGTGATGGAAAGCGGGAGAATGGAGCGGGGTGATGGAAAGCGGGAGAATGGGGCGGGGAGATGGAAAGCGGGAGAAAGGGGCGGGGTGATGGAAAGCGGGAGAATGGGGCGGGCTCATGGAAAGCAGGAGAATGGGGCGGGGTGATGGAAGGAGGGAGAATGGGGCGGGGTGATGGAAGGAGAGAGAAGGGGGCGGGGTGATGGAAAGTGGGAAAATGTGGCGGGGTGATGGAAAGCGGGAGAATAGAGTGGGGTTATGGGAAGCGGGAGAATGGGGCGGGGTGATGGAAAGCGGGAGAATGGGGCGGGGTGATGGAAGGAGGGAGAATGGGGCGGGGTGATGGAAGGAGGGAGAATGGGGCGGAGTGATGGAAAGCGGGAGAATGGGGCGGGGTGATGGAAGGAGGGAGAATGGGGCGGGATGATGGAAAGCCGTAGAATGGGGCGGGGTGATGGAAAGCGGGAGAATGGGGCGGGGTGATGGAAGGAGGGAGAATTAGGCAGGGTGATAGAAAGCGGGAGAATGTGGCGGGGTGATGGAAAGCGGGAGAAAGGGGTGGGGTTATGGGAAGTGGGAGAATGGGGCGGGCTGATGGAAAGCGGGAGAATGGGGCGGGGTGATGGAAGGAGGGAGAATGGGGCGGGGTGATGGAAGGAGGGAGAATGGGACGGGGTGATGGAAAGCAGGAGAATGGGGCGGGGTGATGGAAAGCAGGAGAATGGGGCGGGGTGATGGAAGGAGGGAGAATGGGGAGGGGTGATGGAAGGAGGGAGAATGGGCGGAGTGATGGAAAGCGGAAGAATGGGGCGGGATGATGGAAGGAGGTAGAATGGGGCGGGATGATGGAAAGTGGGAGAATGGGGCGGGGTGGAATGAGGGAGAATGGGGCGGGGTGATGGAAGGAGGGAGAATGGGGCGGGGTGATGGAAAGCGGGAGAATGGGGCGGGGTGATGGAAAGCGGGAGAATGGGGCGGGGAGATGGAAAGTGGGAGAAACGGGAGGGGTGATGGAAAGCAGGAGAATGGGGCGGGCTGATGGAAAGCGGGAGATTCGGGCGGGTTGATGGAAGGAGGGAGAATGGGGCGGGGTGATGGAGGGAGAGAGAAGGGGGCGGGGTGGTGGAAAGTGGGAGAATGTGGCAGGGTGATGGAAAGCGGGAGAATAGGGTGGGGTTATGGGAAGCAGGAGAATGGGGCGGGGTGATGGAAAGCGGGAGAATGGGCCGGGGTGATGGAAGGAGGGAGAATGGGGCGGGGTGATGGAAGGAGGGAGAATGGGGCGGAGTGATGGAAAGCGGGAGAATGGGGCGGGGTGATGGAAGGAGGGAGAATGGGGCGGGATGATGGAAAGCGGTAGAATGGGGCGGGGTGATGGAAAGCGGAAGAATGGGGCGGGGTGATGGAAGGAGGGAGAATGGGGCGGGGTGATAGAAAGCGGGAGAATGTGGCGGGGTGATCGAAAGCGGGAGAAGGGGGTGGGGTTATGGGAAGCGGGAGAATGGGGCGGGCTGATGAAAAGCTGGAGAATGGGGCGGGGTGATGGAAGGAGGGAGAATGGGGCGGGGTGATGGAAGGAGGGAGAATGGGACGGGGTGATGGAAAGCAGGAGAATGGGGCGGGGAGATGGAAGGAGGGAGAATGGGGTGGGGTGATGGAAAGCGGGAGAATGGGGCGGGGTGATGGAAAGCGGGAGAATGGGGCGGGGTGATGGAAAGCGGGAGAATGAGGCTGGGTGATGGAAAGCAGGAGAATGGGGCGGGGTGATAGAAAGTGGGAGAATGGGGCGGGGTGATGGAAGGAGGGAGAATGGGGTGGGGTGATGGAAAGCGGGAGATTGGGGCAGGGTGATGGAAAGCGGGAGAATGGGGCGGGGTGATGGAAAGCGGGAAAATGGGGCGGGGTGACAGAAAGCGGGAGAATGGGGCTGGGTGATGGAAAGCGGGAGAATGGGGCGGGGTGATGGAAAGCGGGAGAATGGGGCATGGAGATGGAAAGCGGGAGAAAGGGGCGGGGTGATGGAAAGCGGGAGAATGGGGCCGGCTGATGGAAAGCGGAAGAATGGGGCGGGTTGATGGAAGGAGGGAGAATGGGGCGGGGTGATGGAAGGAGAGAGAAGGGGGCGGGGTGATGGAAAGTGGGAAAATGTGGCGGGGTGATGGAAAGCGGGGGAATGGGGTTGGGTTATGGGAATCGGGAGAATGGGGCGCGGTGATGGAAAGCGGGAGAATGGGGCAGGGTGATGGAATGAGGGAGAATGGGGCGGGGTGATGGAAGGAGGGAGAATGGGGCGGGGTGATGGAAAGCGGGAGAATGGGGCGGGGTGATGGAAGGAGGGAGAATGGGGCAGGGTGATGGAAAGCGGGAGAATGGGGCGCGGTGATGGAAAGCGAGAGAATGGAGCGGGGTGATGGAAGGAGGGAGAATGGGGAGGGGTGATGGAAAGCGGGGGAATGGGGCGGGGAGATGGAATGCGGGAGAAAAGGGAGGGGTGACGGAAAGCGGGAGAATGGGGCGGGCTGATGGAAAGCGGAAGAATTGGGCAGGGTGATGGAAGGAGGGAGAATGGGGCGGGGTGATGGAAGGAGAGAGAAGGGGGCGGGCTGATGGAAAGTGGGAGAATGTGGCGGGGTGATGGAAAGCGGGAGAATGGGGCGGGCTGACGGAAAGCGGGAGAATGGCAAAGGGAGCGGGCCTAGCGAGTGCAAAATAGCAATAGGAAGGGCCTAGCGTGTGCAAAAAATCAAGAAAAAGGGCCTTGCATTCGTAAAATAGCAGGAACAAGGGCCTAGCGTGTGCAAAATATAAAGAACAAGGGTCTAGCATGTGCAAAATTGCAAGAACAAGGGCCTAGCGTGTGCAAAAAAAAAAGAACGAGAGCATAGCGTTTGCAAAATAGCAAGAACAAGGGCCTAGCGTGTGCAAAATAAAAAGAACAAGGGCCTAGCGTGTGCAAAATAAAAAGAACAAGGGCCTAGCGTGTGCAAAATTGCAAGAACAAGGTTCTTGCGAGTGCAAAATAGCAAGAGCAAGGGCCTAGCGTGTGCAAAAAATCAAGAACAAGGGCCAAGCGTTCGCAAAATGGCAAGTACAAAAGCCTAGCGTGGGCAAAATAAAAAGAACAAGGGTCTAGCATGTGCAAAATTGCAAGAACAAGGGCCTAGTGTGTGCAAAATAAAAAGAACAAGGGCCTAGCGTGTGCAAAATAGCAAGAACAAGGGCCTAGCGTGTGCAAAATAAAAAGAAAAAGGGCCTAGCGTGTGGAAAATAAAAAGAACAAGGGCCTAGCGTGTGCAAAATTGCAAGAACAAGGGCCTAGCGAGTGCAAAATTGCAAGAACAAGGGCCTAGCGTGTGCAAAATAAAAAGAACAAGGGCATAGCGTGTGCAAAATAGCAAGAACAAGGGCCTAGCGTGTGCAAAATAAAAAGAACAAGGGCCTAGCGTGTGCAAAATAAAAAGAACAAGGGCCTAGTGTGTGCAAAATTGCAAGAACAAGGGCCTAGCGTGTGCAAAATTGCAAGAACAAGGGCCTAGCGAGTGCAAAATAGCAAGAGCAAGGGCCTAGCGTGTGCAAAAAATCAAGGACAAGGGCCTAGCGTTCGCGAAATAGCAAGAACAAGGGCCTAGCGTGTGCAAAATATAACGAACAAGGGTCTAGCATGTGCAAAATTTCAAGAACAAGGGCCTAGCGTGTGAAATAAAAAAAAGAACGAGGGCATAGCGTTTGCAAAATAGCAAGAACAAGGGCCTAGCGTGTGCAAAATAAAAAGAATAAGGGCCTAGCATGTGCAAAATGAAAAGAACAAGGGCCTAGCGTTGCAAAATTGCAAGAACAAGAGCCTAGCGTGTGCAAAATAAAAAGAACAAGGGCCTAGCGTTTGCAAAATAGCAAGAACAAGGGCCTAACGTGTGCAAAATAAAAAGGACAAGGGCCTAGCGTGTGCAAAATAAAAAGAACAAGGGCATGGCGTGTGCAAAATAGCAAGAACATGGGGCCTAGCGTGTGCAAAATAAAAAGAACAAGGGCCTAGCGTGTGCAAAATAAAAAGAACAAGGGCCTAGTGTGTGCAAAATTGCAAGAACAAGGGCCTAGCGTGTGCAAAATTGCAAGAACAAGGGCCTAGCGAGTGCAAAATAGCAAGAACAAGGGCCTAGCGTGTGCAAAAAAATCAAGAACAAGGGCCAAGCCTTCGCGAAATAGCAAGAACAAGGGCCTAGCGTGTGCAAAATAAAAAGAACAAAGGTCTAGCATGTGCAAAATTGCAAGAACAAGGGCCTAGCGTGTGCAAAATAAAAAGAACAAGGGCATAGCGTGTGCAAAACAGCAAGATTAAGGGCCTAGCGTGTGCAAAATAAAAAGAACAAGGGCCTAGCGTGTGCAAAATAAAAAGAACAAGAGCCTAGCGTGTGCAAAATAAAAAGAACAAGGGCCTAGCGTGTGCAAAATTGCAAGAACAAGGGCCTAGCGTGTGCAACATTGCAAAAAGAAGGGCCTAGCGAGTACAAAATAGCAAGAGCAAGGGCCTAGCGTGTGCGAAAAATCAAGAACAAGGGCCTAGCGTTTGCGAAATAGCAAGAACAAGGGCCTAGCATGTGCAAAATAAAAAGAACAAGGGTCTAGCATGTGCAAAATTGCAAGAACAAAGGCCTAGCGTGTGCAAAATAAAAAGAACAAGGGCATAGCGTGTGCAAAATAGCAAGAACAAGGGCCTAGCATGTGCGAAATAAAAAGAACAAGGGCCTAGCGTGTGCAAAAAAAAAAGAACAAGGGCCTAGCGTGTGCAAAATTGCAAGAACAAGGGCCTAGCGTGTGCAAAATTGCAAGAACAAGGGCCTAGCGAGTGCAAAATAGCAAGAGCAAGGGCCTACCGTGTGCAAAAAATCAAGAACAAGGGCCTAGCGTTCGCAAAATAGCAAGAACAAGGGCCTAGCGTGTGCAAAATAAAAAGAACAAGGGTCTAGCATGTGCAAAATTGCAAGAACAAGGGCCTAGCGTGTGCAAAATAACAAGAACAAGGGCCTAGCGTGTGCAAAATAAAAAGAACAAGGGCCTAGCGTGTGCAAAATATAAAGAACAAGGGCCTAGCGTGTGCAAAATTGCAAGAACAAGGGCCTAGCGTGTGCAAAATTGCAAGAACAAGGGCCTAGCGAGTGCAAAATAGCAAGAGGAAGGGCCTAGCGTGTGCAAAAAATCAAGAACAAGGGCCTAGCGTTCGCGAAATAGCAAGAACAAGGTCCTAGCGTGTGCAAAATATAACGAACAAGGGTCTAGCATGTGCAAAATTGCAAGAACAAGGGCCTAGCGTGTGCAAAAAAAAAAGAACGAGGGCATAGCGTTTGCAAAATAGCAAGAACAAGGGCCTAGCGTGTGCAAAATAAAAAGAACAAGGGCCTAGCATGTGCAAAATAAAAAAAACAAGGGCCTAGCATTGCAAAATTGCAAGAACAAGAGCCTAGCGTGTGCAAAATAGAAAGAACAAGGGCATAGTGTGTGCAAAATAGCAAGACGAAGGGCCTAGCGTGTGCAAAATAAAAAGAACAAGGGCCTAGCGTGTGCAAAATAAAAAGAACAAGGGCCTAGCGTGTGCAAAATTGCAAGAACAAGGGCCTAGCGTGTGCAAAATTGCAAGAACAAGGGCCTAGCGAGTGCAAAATACCAAGAGGAAGGGCCTAGCATGTGCAAAAAATCAAGAACAAGGGCCTAGCGTTCGTGAAATAGCAAGAACAAAGGCCTAGCGTGTGCAAAATATAACGAACAAGGGTCTAGCATGTTCAAAATTGCAAGAACAAGGGCCTAGCGTGTGCAAAAAAAGAAGAACGAGGGCATAGCGTTTGCAAAATAGCAAGAACAAGGGCCTAGCGTGTGCAAAACAAAAAGAACAAGGGCCTAGCGTGTGCAAAAAAAAAAGAACAAGGGCATAGCGTGTGCAAAATAGTAAGAACAAGGGCCTAGCATGTGCAAAATAAAAAGAACAAGGGCCTAGCGTGTGCAAAATAAAAAGAACAAGGGCCTAGCGTGTGCAAAATTGCAAGAACAAGGGCCTAGCGTATACAAAATTGCAAGAACAAGGGCCTAGCGAGTGCAAAACAGCAAGAGCAAGGGCCTAGCGTGTGCAAAAAATCAAGGACAAGGGCCTAGCGTTCGCGAAATAGCAAGAACAAGGGCCTAGCATGTGCAAAATATAACGAACAAGGGTCTAGCATGTGCAAAATTTCAAGAACAAGGGCCTAGCGTGTGAAATAAAAAAAAGAACGAGGGCATAGCGTTTGCAAAATAGCAAGAACAAGGGCCTAGCGTGTGCAAAATAAAAGAATAAGGGCCTAGCATGTGCAAAATGAAAAGAACAAGGGCCTAGCGTTGCAAAATTGCAAGAACAAGAGCCTAGCGTGTGCAAAATAAAGAGAACAAGGGCCTAGCGTTTGCAAAATAGCAAGAACAAGGGCCTAACGTGTGCAAAATAAAAAGGACAAGGGCCTAGCGTGTGCAAAATAAAAAGAACAAGGGCATGGCGTGTGCAAAATAGCAAGAACAAGGGCCTAGCGTGTGCAAAATAAAAAGAACAAGGGCCTAGCGTGTGCAAAATAAAAAGAACAAGGGCCTAGTGTGTGCAAAATTGCAAGAACAAGGGCCTAGCGTGTGCAAAATTGCAAGAACAAGGGCCTAGCGAGTGCAAAATAGCAAGAACAAGGGCCTAGCGTGTGCAAAAAAATCAAGAACAAGGGCCAAGCCTTCGCGAAATAGCAAGAACAAGGGCCTAGCGTGTGCAAAATAAAAAGAACAAAGGTCTAGCATGTGCAAAATTGCAAGAACAAGGGCCTAGCGTGTGCAAAATAAAAAGAACAAGGGCATAGCGTGTGCAAAACAGCAAGAACAAGGGCCTAGCGTGTGCAAAATAAAAAGAACAAGGGCCTAGCGTGTGCAAAATAAAAAGAACAAGAGCCTAGCGTGTGCAAAATAAAAAGAACAAGGGCCTAGCGTGTGCAAAATTACAAGAACAAGGGACTAGCGTGTGCAACATTGCAAAAAGAAGGGCCTAGCGAGTACAAAATAGCAAGAGCAAGGGCCTAGCGTGTGCGAAAAATCAAGAACAAGGGCCTAGCGTTTGCGAAATAGCAAAAACAAGGGCCTAGCATGTGCAAAAAAAAAAGAACAAGGGTCTAGCATGTGCAAAATTGCAAGAACAAAGGCCTAGCGTGTGCAAAATAAAAAGAACAAGGGCATAGTGTGTGCAAAATAGCAAGAACAAGGGCCTAGCGTGTGCGAAATAAAAAGAACAAGGGCCTAGCGTGTGCAGAAAAAAAAGAACAAGGGCCTAGCGTGTGCAAAATTGCAAGAACAAGGGCCTAGCGTGTGCAAAATTGCAAGAACAAGGGCCTAGCGAGTGCAAAATAGCAAGAGCAAGGGCCTACCGTGTGCAAAAAATCAAGAACAAGGGCCTAGCGTTCGCAAAATAGCAAGAACAAGGGCCTAGCGTGTGCAAAATAAAAAGAACAAGGGTCTAGCATGTGCAAAATTGCAAGAACAAGGGCCTAGCGTGTGCAAAATAGCAAGAACAAGGGCCTAGCGTGTGCAAAATAAAAAGAACAAGGGCCTAGCGTATGCAAAATAAAAAGAACAAGGGCCTAGCGTGTGCAAAATTGCAAGAACAAGGGCCTAGCGTGTGCAAAATTGCAAGAACAAGGGCCTAGCGAGTGCAAAATAGCAAGAGGAAGGGCCTAGTGTGTGCAAAAAATCAAGAACAAGGGCCTAGCGTTCGCGAAATAGCAAGAACAAGGGCCTAGCGTGTGCAAAATATAACGAACTAGGGTCTAGCATGTGCAAAA